CCGGTTCTGGTGTTACATCATGTTCAGCACAAATCAAACATGGAGATAATGTATCTCCTGAATGTTCCTAAGTCTGTAGAGAGGATATACAAAATAACAGTTTGAATGGCAGGTGATTCTTGGAAGTTGGAGCAGTTTATGGAGTAACAAGCGGTTCTTTGTTGACCTAGATGGGATTGTCATGTCATCTGTTATCAAAGGTTTGCTTTCATGCATGGAAGCTTGTTAAGTTTTCATGAATTCTTGATGTGGGCAACCAGCTGCTTTATGCTGACTACTTTTTTAGCAAGAATTGAACTGTGGTTGCCTAAGTTTTGGCAGAAAAGGTAAAGCTGAGGCAGACAACTAAGATACCCAAGTGACTATTTTGCTGAAGCTTCAGCACCTAAAGCCATGCAGAGTATCAGAAGGAAAGCATTCTTACAGTCATTACTATGTACATTGCTTTTAATATATAGTCTCCAGTTTAGGACTGTTGTCACTTTGGAATCTCTTTTGTGTTAGAATTTGCTCTTCTGGCAGTTGTTGTCAGGGACACAAAAATGTTTCCAAGTTTTATGTTGACCTTCAGAAGTGATGGCATGCTTATGTTGTTACAATACCAATACTCAAAAGATGACTGTCACGGTCATGCCAACACTGAATTTGAACTTCTCCAGCAGGGCTAAAAAAACGTTTGGCTTGTATGGTTATGGAGACCAAGGAGCACCACCTACTCCCATCTCTCTAGTGTATCTGTATTGCGGCAAAAGCTTTCAGATTTGCTGCACAAAGCAGCAAAATCATGGAATGGTTTGGGTTGGAAGGGACCTAAAAGACCATCCAGTTCCAACCCCCCTGCCATGGGCAGGGACACCTTGCACTAGACCAGGTTGCTCTAAGCCTCATCCAGCCTGGCCTTGAACACTTCCAGGGATGGGACATCCACAGCTTCTCTGGGCAACCTGTTCCAGTGCCTCACCACCCTCTATGTGAAGAATTGTCTCTAAACTGTGCCTGTCATGGATTTTTGGATTTGTAGAGGCTCAGTGACATTTTATCACTGTTGTTCATCTCTTACTGAAAGATATTTTCCTGGCCAGCATCCTGCTCTCACAGTCCCTGTCTCACAGCATGATTGCTGGCCAGTATTTTACCAGTGCCTTCTGGGCATCAGAACTTAGGTCCATTGTGAGTTCAGCAGCGTGGTAGGGTACAGATGATCATTGTAAGTAAGAATCACTAAGTATATTTGTTTAAGAGTTGCACTGGATGATAGCACTGAATCTCCAACCCATTGTCAGTCTTGCCAGTCTTTGTGTCATGTCTTTGTCAATATTTTGGGGGAAGACGAGCTTGTGGAATGCATTGCAAAAGCCACCAATCTTGATAAAAGCTCTAGCCTTTCTTCTGCCTGTTCAAGTTGCTAATCATGCTTTGGTGTCTGTCACTGGTAGTCAGGCATGTTTCCCACTGCAAGCCCATTAGGAAGGCTGTGTAGTAAAATAATATGCTTAACTTGTAGCTGTAAGAATATCTGTTTTGTCTGTGTTCTTCCACTGCATCAATGCAGTTTCTTCAATTTGCTCTTAAATCCTTTCACAACTCAGTTCTACCTTTGCCATCAGACCTTTGAATTCTGTTGAGCTGTCAATATGCGGCTCTGCGTTTGGTCTGCCAGTGAAGGACTTGTGTGATTGCTCGCTTCGTTCTCAAGCGATTCGTTCGATTTCTCTCTGCTCTAAATGCTCTTTACATCTTATGAACTTACAAGAAATTTAGCATTATAGAAACAGCTTGAGAGTCAGTATTTTCTGAGGCACAAAGAAGATGCATTAATGGTTTGCCTTACACTGGGACACCATGCAGCTTTACATTTTTAACCCACCTCCAAAACAGGACTTAAGTCTCCAAAACGATTGTTGAAAGCTCCATCTCTTCCTGTTTTAAAAAGAGAATCAGAGTTTAATGTTGGAAGTGTCTTTTTTTGTATAAATTATTAGAATAATCCATGTATAAACACTAGAAGTGACAAATTACTTCATTCAAAGTAGTAAATGCAGAACAGGGATTCATATTAGAAAGTAAGTTTCTTGCATACTGTGCATAATTGCTGGCGAAAATCAAGATAGAAAAATGCACAGAGTATCAAATGACTGGTTTATTTCAGACTATTGGGGTGGAAATTACATATTTCTGTCTGATGAGAATTACTGCAGATGTGAGGGAGTGACCAAAATTTATCGTAGAATTTTATACTACCATTAATAATTGTTCTGTCGAATACATTGAAAGTTAAGTTTACACTTTAGATCAGAATATTCTGGCAGCCAGCCTCTTGTAGACCATACATATGTTGTTGACATAGTGGCAAGTCAAGGAAATTAGCAGTCTTTAAAGTCCAGCTGGTTTTTTTTTTGCTATTTCTGGCTGCTTTCCTTAGAAGAATTTCAGGTTTTGGCAGTAAAATAAACAACATACTATTGTATTAGGGTATTTTTTTCCTGTTAACTCCTCATTTTGTCTGTAGCCCTGAAGTGAAACAGTGTCAAGCATTTTGTTAGAGGCAAAACCTCGTGTAAATGCTTTTTTAAAGAATTATAATGCTTTTCATTGCAAATGTAATTTAACAATGAAGTGTTTTTTCCTGCTCTGCTGCCTGCTCAAAAGGTCTTTTGTATTCCCCCTTGGGACGCTTGGCAAACTGCTGTCTTAAGCTTCTGCCGGAGGTTTCTGGGGCAGGCATAGCCCAGACCTGGCAGGCAAGGCAGTCTGAACCTAGCTGTCGGAGAAGCCACTGGTTCTGTAACTCGACGGCGTCAGACGCAGCATCATCAGTAACGCTCTTGGCATTGTTCAGCGGGTTTTTGTGCTGATCACACTATCAGTGCCTCTTCGTGACACCCAGGAGTCGAGTGAATATTGTTCTCGTGTTACAGATAATGAGGTGGTGCTCAAAACAAACGATTTATTGAAGGCTGTGTTACCACTGGCCAGCAAAGCAGATGAGCAGAAAGTGGGAAGTCCTCTGTACTCCAGGTCCACTAGAGAGAGCTGTTTCCAGTTAAATGCTGCAGCCCTTATTTTTCATTAACAGGATGCATTCACGGGGCTTCTGGAGAGGGAGGGCAGGGCAGAACAACTGGGGCATTAAGACTAGTAGTTATTTATTACACCGGCGTTGGCAGAAAGCAAGAGAGAAGCACGTCCCTCCTCTCTTCCCAATGCTGGCTACCCAAAAAATTAGGAGGTGGTGTTGTGACTTCCTCCTAACTTAACATAATATCTTTTAGATTAAGGTAATATCCTTAGTTTTCTGAAACTATTATATTTTAGTGGTAATAGGGCTCATGCTGAGTATGCATTAGAAATGGTATCTTACAAAGCGTAAGTTATTTCTTCTTCCCTCACAGTGAATTTATGGAATTTATTTCTAAAGCTGCTGTTACATCTATAATCAGAAAAGTATGGCAAAGCACAGTATAGAATATAAATTAATGAGTGAGAATTCCATAACTAACACATTTTAAGTACAAGGATTTTAAGGGACAAAACAAAAATATTAGCATCTACATACAAAATTGGAAGCATCCTTTTCCCTTGTTCTTCTGAACTCTACTTGCAGAGCCACTGAGTTTCAAAGGCAGTTTTTTTGTTCCCCCCAAAGCCGCTTGACCACATAAAATCAGATTACTTCAGCAAATCTTTGCACGCTTTTTTTTTTCCCCCAAAGGATTTAAACAGTCTTAGAGGTGTCTGTCCTGGTTCTGTATGTCTTCATAACGAGTATTTAAATGAGTGCCAAAAGCCTCTGTTGGCATCGTGGAAAAAATGAAGAGTTTGCTGAGAATTAACTTATGTGAAAGGGGAAGATTAAAAAATGTCATTGGAGGAGGCTGGCAAACGTCCGTGTTTTCATGCATAAGTAGTACTGCAGTTTTCACATGGTGTCTGGTGGTGTTCTTTCTAATACCCGCGTCTTTTTCTTTAGTCACCTTTCCGCACCTTGCAGGTTCTGCTCCTTCGTGGCCTAGCCTTATGGACACCAGCAAACAGTGGGATTACTATGCACGAAGAGACAAGGATAGGGAACGTGACAGAGAGCGATCCCGAGATCGGGATCGCGACCGGGAGCGAGACAGAGATCGAGAACGTACCAGAGACAGGGAAAGGGACCGAGATCACAGCCCAACTCCAAGTGTGTTCAACAGGTGAGTGCAATGTCTTAAGCACGCTGTGACTCTGCTCAGCGCCCTGTGTCTGTGTTAAATAGTGCGCTGCAACATTAACATTCAGTGTTCAGCTGTATTCCGAAGAGCTAGAGGGTGGGGCTTCCTCCCCTTCCTCCTTTTTCTCTTGGAAATGATAATGCAGTTTCTAAATGTAAAACAGAAGTGTAAAAAGGACAGTATACCTCAAAACTGGTCATAGTGCCTTACAGGTTTAAGGTGTGGTTTAAGCCCTGTGTGTGAGTGGGATACCCAGCTCTCCTTGACATCAGTAGTTCTAGAAAAATCTGTAAAGTACTAAATGAACCTTAGGTGCCAACTCAGTGCTAAGAGCAATGTGGTGCAGCATTTGACCTTAATTAATGGTGGTGTTAGCTGCTGAAATTGTTAGTTTGGTCATTAGCACTGCCTGGGTAATAATCTGCCCTCTCTTTTTTAAAAACTATTATTTCAAGGGCAAGAACTCTTTTTTATTTTTAGGCAGATGGTGAAAATAATGGCAGGTAACTTTATTATTGCTTTTTTATAAAAAAAGAAAAGAAAAAATGCTGCAACCGTTCTGTGGTTCATGTGCTCAAGTATAAAACATCTAATGCTGCGCTCGCTATGGTTCCCTAGAGCAGAGGTCTTGGCTTGCCAGATGTAGCTAAATTTGCTGTGCTCGATAGTTGCAAATCGTTTTGGGGTAAACGTCCTGACGCTTTTCTCGGTGGTTTTTGTTAAGTTTCAATTTTTGCAGAATATATGTGTTAGCCGTAGGCGGATTGTTTTTACCATTGGTTTTCTGCTGTGGGGAGTGAGAGCACCCGGCGTCTACAGGACTTCGGTTGAGGGGTGACAGTTTTTGCAGGATGACTGTTAGACCCAAACTGGGTGCAGGATAGGGGATTTTCCGCGTACACTGATGTGGCGATGTCCTCTCCCCTGTGCGTGTGCGGTGTCCCGGGGTCACTTTCTGAGAACACAAGACCAATCTCAACATCTGTTTCTCAGTCAGCTTGATTGAAGGCCAGAAAGAAGCCTGGTCATTCAAGGGTGCTTGAAATGAACCTTAATAGCTTCCAGGCCTCGAGAAATCTCTGTGCTGCTGCCAGAGTTATCTGTAGAGGAGGGGGAAGAGCAGACTTCAGCTTTTTTTATGTGACTAAATTATCCACCATCTGTAGCAAAGCTGTTGCCACATGGCTGTGTAAGAAAACAGGAGGCCCTTAACTAGTGTACGTTGGTTTGCGAGTCGCAGAGAAGGTGGGAGGGGCCTGTGACAGAACATGCAGACATAATTTATTTGAAAAAGGTTTATTTTCAATTCTGTGCACTTAAGAAAATAAAATGAAACCAACTATGAGGAGGAGAATGTGAACTATTTTACAGACTGCACAGATGCATTACTTTTATTTAAATTCCCTTTATTTAAACTTTTGTTCAAGCAACCCTGTGGTGGGATTTGGAGTAAGCATCATCTTCAGCTCTTTGCTGCTCAGAAATTACTGCTTTTGATGTTTTTAACAGTTCTTTTCTGGATAAATAGCCTGTACCTGTGCTATAGCATTTCTTAGAATTGTAAGAAAATGGGAATTATTTTGATTCTATTAATATAACCAAAATGTGTTCTAAAAATGACCCTTCAGCTGTCTTCATAGTCTGTTCTACCTTTACCTGTCTGTCCTCAAATGAAATTGTGCATTTTTGCAATATGTCTCACTCTGTCCCCCTGAGAAGATGTTACTCTTTTTGGACTGTTGTGCCTTCTGCGAGGACTGTTTTCTTTTTTTTTTTTTTTTTGTTTTGATAGTTTCAAGTCAATTAGTTACCACTAAAAATGTAAACTTTGGAATTTGATTGATACCTTACCATTTTGCGGTTCCCCCTCAGCAATTTGAAATACAAAACCAAAACCCAACAACTCTATTTCTAAAGTCCTGGAACCCAGCAATCCCATGCAGCAGAGCAGATGAGTGCCGTGGAGGTCTGACAAGGTGGTTAGCAGGGCTAAGATGATGGAGATCATTTAGCTTGGAAGGAGAAGGATGAGGAGGGTTCTTTAAGGCTATTTTCAACTACCTAGGGGGTGGTTGTAGAGAAGACAGAGCCACTTTGTCAAGGTGCACAGAGAAAGGACAAGAGACTTAGTTAAAAATCACAGCAAGGGAAATTCCAATTACATACAGGGCATGGAGGGGAGGGAACAATCATAAAAAGAGTGATCAGTTGGTAATACAGGTTGCAGAGAGAGATCATAGAACCTCCGGTCTTGGGGATACTCAAAAATGGACTAAACAAGGCTCTGAGCAACCTGACCAGACTTCTGAGTTAGCCCTGTGTTGAGGAGAGGTTAGCCCAAGTGACCTCCACCAGTCCCTTCCAGGGTACAGGTAACTACAGATCCTGTTCCACAGGTCAAAGGTTGTCGTGCTCTCAGGGCTGTCCCTGGAAGGCTTTGATAGCTGTAACGTGAGCCCAGATGCAGCGTGGGGAGATCATGGGTGTGACATTGAGTGCATGGCATTTATTCCTGTTCCTGAAAGCTCCCGACATCCTGGACTTGGCAAACTGATTCTTTGCTTTACTTATAGAACGGTTGTTTGTTTTCAGACACACGTACAAGCTGTCATGGTTCCTTGGTAGTTTGCCAAAATAAGGTTTAAAAGGAGTATCAGTAATATTTTTAATCTTTTCTAGAGTGGTTTAAAATAGTCGTGTAACAGAGCAAATGCAGGCTGTGGGTCAACACTGAAGGTTTTGAAGCTCAGCTTTGAAACCCAAGACATAAGTCTGCGAGTAGCCATCGGATTTCTTAGGGCAAGCTCACCAGAAGGCAGGGTTAGACATTCAAATTTTAACTTTTTAAGTTGGTCATCAAAATGTTAATTTTGGGAAGTAATATTGGATACTGCATTCACCTCTGGGGCCCCCACCATAAGAGGGACATGGACCTGTTGGAGCGAGTCCAGAGGAGGCCACGAAGATGCTCAGAGGGCGGGAGCCCCTCTGCTATGGGTACAGGCTGAGAGAGTTGGGCTTGTTCAGCCTGGAGAAGAGAAGGCGCCGGGGAGACCTTATTGCCCCTTCCAGTGCCTGAAGGGGCTACAAGGAAGCTGGGGGGGACTTTTTACAAGGGCCTGTAGTGACAGGACAAGGGCTAACGGGTTTAAATTGAAAGTGGGGAGGTTTAGATTGGATATCAGGAAGAAGTTCTTCCCAGAGAGGGTGGTGAGGCACTGGAACAGGTTGGCCAGAGATGTTGTGGATGCCCCATCCCTGGAAGTGTTCAAGGCCAGGCTGGATGAGGCTTTGAGCAACCTGGTCTAGTGGAAGGTGTCCCTGCCCATGGCAGGGGGGCTGGAACTGGATGGTCTTTAAGGTCCCTTCCAACCCAAACCATTCTGTGATTCTATGATTCTATGTTGGGAGCAACCTGTAGTTGAATTGCTTCTACCTTTTTCTATCCCTGCAAGCTTGCAAAACTGTAAGGCTCCTAAAATTGTGCTGACTAGTGGCACACAGCAAGGTGTGTTAGTATAGGAATCCCACATCTAACAAAAAATTTCAGTTGTTATTCAAATCAGACTTTATGTTTGATTATAACTTCTGGCAGATTTCAGAACCTAATTTTAATTTTTAACATTGTAGATTTTATTTTTTTAATATTCTAAAACTGAGCTTTTTAAATATTCCCACATCTAACAAAAAATTTTAGTTGTTATTCAAATCAGACTTTATGTTTGATTATAACTTCTGGCAGATTTCAGAACCTAATTTTAATTTTTAACATTGTAGATTTTATTTTTTTAATATTCTAAAACTGAGCTTTTTAACTAGACTTCACCAGGCACCTGATCTAAATATGGTGCTGCTTTGTTACACCCCAAATTAAGACGCGCCTCAAACGCAGATCGAATGGAGACTGTCCTTCTGAACTGCAAAGCTAACGGCTGTGCAAGCTAGGCTGGTCTTCTCTTCAGCATGACTTGTCTTAGAAACTTCAGTTGGTATCAGCCTTCATCTTTGTGTGTTGTAAATGTCTCCCCTCGACTTCCCTCCTTCCCCCGACCGTAGAGTAGAAGCGGGAGGGTTTTACCTCCACGTTCGCCTGTAGCAGTACAGGCACTAAGCACTGCAGTCGTATTACTCGGTGACAAGACATAACGTTGAGTTCTTTAGTAATAGCATTAGTTTTCCTGATTCTGATGTGTGAGTATTTGTACTGTCCCTTAGAAAATCAGGATTTTCTTTGGTGCGTTTGATGCTTCTCTGCAGTGTCTTAAATCACTAATTTTTGAAATTTGCTTCGTGATAGGACCATGCAGAGTTTCATAGAAAGACTAATGCTGTGCCTCAGGCATTCCCCCTTCCTGCTCTACGTGCGTAGCTGTCGTAAGCAGTAATGTGATGTCTTTGCTTGGGAAATGGCCACAGGATCCAAGTTACAGCAGCTAAAATTGTTTTGATCTAAGTTCTCACTGCTCTGGGACATGAGAAATCTCTTTAGGCTTGAGCTGTTCTTGCCTAATCTGTCTGATGTGTTGCTGTCAGGGACCTCAGGAGGAGACTGTCTTTCATGGTAAATATTGGGAAAGAGGGAGAGCGTGAAGCACTTGGCTGTTGTCAGCTCAGTAGTATCATCTAAACTGTTACCTGTTTGAAGGGCCGATCAGAAAGCCTGGACACATGGTGCCTTTCTTCAGGACTTGGTCGGGGTCTTCCAGCCTGTGGTTACAAAGGCTTCATGTGATACGTATATAGTTACAGTAAATTCATTTGTATTGAAGTCTCGTTGTTAAATGATGCTGGACACTACATCTGGGTAGGATTTTCTGGGTAGAGAAACGGCAAAACGAGCACATGCCTTTTTCAGCTATGGTAATGTTGCATTTGGTACACTATACATCTTGCTCTTGCTTGAATGTCACTGAACTCTTAGAACTGCCGTTTTCATCAAGTCAAAATAGAAAAATACATTCTTAAGTAAAGCCTTTGAATTCTTGTATAGCTTGCAATATTGGGGAGTTTTTACCAGCATTGTGGCAGGGTGGCACTCATGGTAATCCAAGACAGGAGTGGGAAGGTGAGATAACATTGGCACTGGAGAAGTAATTTTAAAAGCAACCCAAAACACTGAGTATATTTTACTCTCAGTCTTTTTGCTGCACCTACTTTTTCTTTCTTGAACCTGATGTAAGGAAATAGATGAACTGTACCAAAAATGTATTTTAATTTACCCAAGTGGTGTAATAGTTAAAAAGTGCTGATAGGTGTTGAGCGTTACACACACTCATCTGGAAACATCACTGAAGTGTATGGATTGTGCTTCGTTTGCAGCTGGATACAGATTTAAGCTAACTGCTTGATAACTCCTGCATAAACTTAAGGTGACAGACACTGTTGTATTCTTTTCTCCTTCCATTTTAACTGAACAGTCCCCTTTCAAATTTGCATTCACCACTGAAGTAGTGTGTGAGGTGAAGAGCTTTGGTGTCCTTTAGCATACGTTGTGGGTCTCGTTTAGAGACCCAGAAGCAACATTTATCTTGAGTGTGTGTAAGAATTTATTTTTTTAAAATATCTAGACTGCTTGGTGTTACTGTCCTGAAAATATTTTCTTTTTTAATCAGTGATGAAGAACGATACAGGTACAGAGACTACGCAGAAAGAGGCTATGACCGTCATCGAACAAGTAGAGAGAAAGAAGACCGACACAGAGACAGGAGGCACAGGGAGAAAGAAGACACCAGACACAAGTCATCTCGAAGGTTTGACTTTTTTTAATAGGATATGAAAGAGTTGACCAGTTTAAAAAAATAAACTTTTAAAAGAACCCCAAACATACTGGAGCTTTGTGGGAAGACTGTAAACACTTAGCTGTACTACTTGGAACAAGTCTGCCATATACAAGGTGGACAGACAAAATGCAATGTGGGCCCTGTTAACTTCATATTGAATGATGTATGCGACAGTTTTACAGAGTGAACAGAAATTATGAATCTGGGGAAAGAAGGGTAAAAATGTTGGGTCAGAAAGAGGTGGAGCGAAAGTGATAATCAATCAGCAGCATTAACGTAGGAACTCAGCAGCAATTCTTAGTGAGTAAAGTAACCCTCCTGGGTTCCACTTGATGGAAATTGTTCAGTTGGATCCTTTTAAAGTTCAAGTCCAGAGAAGGGTGCCCATAAAAACGTTAAGCCATTAAGGGATGTCAGTATGGGCATGACGTTATTCGAAGTATTGTACAGGATGGATGTACCATTGCAGCATTAACGTAGGAACTCAGCAGCAATTCTTAGTGAGTAAAGTAACCCTCCTGGGTTCCACTTGATGGAAATTGTTCAGTTGGATCCTTTTAAAGTTCAAGTCCAGAGAAGGGTGCCCATAAAAACGTTAAGCCATTAAGGGATGTCAGTATGGGCATGACGTTATTCGAAGTATTGTACAGGATGGATGTACCATTCCATGAAAAAGTTAGAAATAAAGTTCAAGTCCAGAGAAGGGTGTCCATAAAAACGTTAAGCCATTAAAGGATGTCAGTATGGGCACGACGTTATTCAAAATATTGTACAGGATGGATGTACCATTCCATGAAAAATTCAGTTTGACGCTGACATGACATCCAAGTACAGTATGGGTTGGAACAGGAGCAGGTGCCAGTTTTCAAATACGTATGCCAAGGCTGGGTTTTTGGTATTCTGCAATTAAATGGGGCCTGAAGTGTCACGCAATTGTTTAAGGTATTTTCTCTCCCTCTTTATTCAGTAACAGCAGACGCCGTCATGACAGCGAGGAAGGGGACAGCCACAGAAGGCACAAACACAAAAAATCCAAAAGAAGCAAAGAAGGAAAAGAAGCCAGCGGTGAACCTGCTCCTGAACAGGAAAACACTGAAGCTGCCCCTGTGGAATAGGCTTGTGTGGTTTTTTTTTTTTTTACCTGCATATATATTAGTGCCAGAAATAGATTACTATAAATCTTATTTTTCTGGGTATTAAAATAATTTGTTCTTAATCTTGTCTGTTAGTTTGAAATCAAAGGTTACTTTGGGTTTTTTTTTTTTTGAAAATAAAAGACTGAATTTTTCATGTTAAGATTCCTGGACTGACTTTGTCTTTTAAGAAACGGTGAGAAAACATCTCGCAGCTAGAGGCTTGTGCTCTTACAGTATACATAGGGCTTAAATGCTCCGTGTTAGATTGTCTCCTTTTTCTCATAAGCCAGCGCAAAAGTCATCCTTGGGCTGACTTGAGAAACAGCGTGCATTCACGTTATTATATACCAACATCTGGAACAGCGTAGGTTCAGTGTAGCTTTTGGAATTCATATCTGAAAAGGTCATCCCTTACTACAGGGACAGGCAGGAATTGTAGACTCTTCAGGAGCCTTGAACGAAGGTGAAATGAGAAAAAATTAGGCAAAAATTGGGAAAGGTGCTGATTGTTCCTAGTCTGATGGAACACTGAGTGCGGTGACCGTACACGTGGCAGTTACATCTGGTTTGTGTGGGCGCATACGGGTGAATGAAGCTGCATAATCATCCCTGCTGCTTTTCAGTGGCTTAAGAGAAAGTTCATTTGAGTCTTTGTTCTAGGGGAACAGATGTCCTTAACATGATAAAAAGATTAACAAACATATCCTCTTCCCAGTGCTAGCTTACGTGGAAAAAATAAGACTTTGGAACATGGGTAATTTGCAGAGAAAGGCAAAGAACTGAAGAGAAAATGTGAGACCATCATCGCTTTCAGATTTACTCCATCCAGGACAGGGTCAAGTGCGGTGGGCAGAAATGGCACTGCCCTTTCAAGGTGCTGTTGGGAAGACAGAGTCGATGGTATTAGGGTGCAGGATACTTCCTTGAAAACAGTGATTCAGTGTAAAATTCCTAGATGTGACAGTATTAATCGAAACAAACAAGGGAAATGAGGCCATTCGGTTTGGGGTGAAAATAACATCTGTACAAGTACACAGTTACAGTTATTTTTAATTATTTTAGAAATTTAATTCACAGTTTTACAGACTAACAAACAGTACTTGAAAGTCTTGAAAATACCAGCTTCATGCTGACCATGAAAAGGTACACGTAATCAAAGTGCTATTCACGTGTTGGATAAAAACCTTCACCTGATTTTTGCAACTAGAAAAATTGCAAGAAATTTTTTTTCCATAAGTTACTCAAGGATTTCTTTCTGTAAATCAAAATAAAGTGGGTGAGCAGGAGCTGCTGCTCCTTACATTTCAATATTATAATAATGCATTAAATATTTATATATAAAAAACCCAACAAAAAACCCTTGAAAACACGGGGGAGGAAAGACTCAAGTCTGTAGCTCACATCACTGAAGCGATTTTCTGACATGTGTCCCTGCTTTACCTAAACTTGACTTTTCTTGACATGCAGGTTGAAATTTCACAAACCTTTTCCTTATAAACACATACTTGACACCCCAAAAAAATGAAGACTGATGTTCCTTTGCTTTTGGGGTTTTTTTCCTGTGTTAAGTTACTTGTCATACTCTCCACGATGACTTGTTTTATAAAAAAGTGCCAGGCCAGGACACAATTGTGAGAGTAATTTTGCCTTTCAGTTCTTTGAGCATCCTTGCCAAGCAGACATGCATCATTCCCGATGTGTTCCTGCCGTTGACAGCGAGGAGGATGTCACCACATCTGAAAAAAAAAACAAAGGCAGAGAGAGAACGATTAAAGAAGGTGACTTCTTCAACATGTGCAAGTGCCAAAGCGCGTCCTTAGGCTGGGAGGACGGGGTAGGAATGGGTAGTGCTGTTCCTTCCCTGGCTGACCGCTCTTGGTGAGTGAGGGAATGAAGTGGGTGAAAATACTTCACTTTCTTTTCCTTACAATTTTATAATTAATTAGGCGTATTAGAAGGAAAATAGGATATAGTTCTCTCAGGTGGGAATGATGTGTGTTCTGAACACACTGTGTTTTAAGGTATACTCAATCGATTTCAGTTTGCTCCATAATCTTGCATTTACTCCCTTAAATCGTGTTGGTGTTGGCAGGGAAGGCGGTTGGTTGGTCGGGTTTTTCTGAGCTGGGGATGTGGGGAAGCGTCTCCGTGCTGGCAGGCTTTGTGCAGCTACCCCAGAGCCCAGACTGACTTATCTTTATGCTTCCTCACGTGTCACTGATTGCTAGACAGCTGAAAATACTCCGCTACGAAGGCAAATCTAAAAGTTCGGGGCACTTAGGTGTCATTTCCACATCTGCCAGACTTAGCTCTGTATCAATGAGCCCTTTATTTTTTTTTTCATCCCCGACACTGTCTTCATGAAAACTTGTTTTTAAAAAAAACCCCACAAATTAACTAGATGAAAGACTGAACCGTCCAGTGAAACGTCGCGTTTAGCTTTACCGAATTCTGCCGTCGTTATATGCTGGTGTTCCTGCCACAACGGATTTGATAAAGAATGGTTTGTTCCCGGCGTGTTCTTCGTAACCTCCTACGATGCTGAAGCCCAGACTTCCAGATGTATTTCTTCGTAATACGATTTCTTTGCAGCTGTACAAATACCTGAAAACGAACCGGTCTAATTAAATGTCGTATGGTTAATATTGATTCTTACGACGTGGATTTTAGGTTATTAAGTTATTTTAGGTTATTTTTAGGATAACCAGTTATCCTAAAAGTGAAATTACAAGGTGGGGGTCAAAATACTAAATCAGCTCTTTCCTGGGGTAAGAATTAATGCAAGTGATCCTGTTGCGATTGGAAGTGATGGAGAAACACACTTAACTGAGACGGTGTTTTGTATTTGAATCATTCCATCATTCCAGAGGCTATTTCATAGCCTGGGGATTTATCTTCTGGGTAGGAGCCCGTGGGTGATGAACTCTGTCCAAAGCAGTCGGGCACTGAACCACTGCCGCGCATGTCAAAGCTAAGAAACTTCGAGGCCGATGAAACGAGCCAGAATTCCAAAAATGAGAGAGATGACGCAAAGTGAACCAGCGGAAGGAGGGATCCTGAGCTTTTCGTGTCAGCAAGGTGGTGAGGCGCAGCACGGAAGGCGAGAGAGGCCTATCCATGCCCGTTGGTGCTTTGGGAAGAAGGTAGCTTGTCCTCGCTACGCCACCACAGTGTTTTATGGTGAGAGCGCTGAAATCTGCCTCTCCCTCTGCCTCTTAAATTCATTTATCATACTCCAAGTTATGCTGAGTCAAGCATTAGCTGAAACAACGGGAAAGTGAGAGCAGAAAGGTCATCAGACTCCAACCAGTTGCCTGTTGCCCGGGGCACGTTAATAACCTGAATACCTGCTTGCTTAAGGAAAAACAGAACCACCCAGATTCGTTTCATTCGCTACAGAAGAACCGAAATCTCTGTGCTTGGTGCTTAACCCACTCATCATTCTCCGTGTACGCAGGAGTGAGGGAAGAGCCTGAAAATCCCTTCCCTATTCCCAATCCGAAGCAGCTGCTACAGGCTCTCTAGGTTTAAGAAACAGCTGACGCTTCTGTAGAAAAAGAACTAATTTCATTTTAAAGACCAATGCATCTAGCTTTTTTTGAAACATTTATTGCTCAAATAATGCTCTTGCTGCATTTCACAGCAGGATTTTATGGTAATACTAGATTAGTCCCTCGGGACCTACAAATATTCACCTGCTGCCAGGGTGGTAGGTATATAATATTTGCACAAGAACTCACTGGCTGCTAATGTAAGAAACAGGTGATGCCTGGTTCTTTCCCCGGCAGCCAGCCGTTATTACTTTACCATCTGTGGGCTTCTCCAACGTGCAAAATCACTTAAACCCTCTCTGTTTGATGGTACTTATCAAGGTCATGACCAAGCGATGCCAGGATTCAGCTGTTAGGGCTATCACCTAGTACTGATTTGGGGCAGGTGGGGGGCAGGGGGTCTCTCTGCCCAGCGCTGCCTTACGGAGGACGTTGCTGAAGTTGAAAGGTGATGGGCTAAATCCTAATGCCTTAGGAAAGAAATGGCTGAGCAGGTGAAGGCACGGGAAGAAAACGCAGTGGAGACAAGCAAGGCTTACGTGTGTCTGCGCATACAGTCTGTAAGGTTATCAGTTACACCGCCTCATCAGTCCGCAACGCAGAAATAGAATCATAGAATCACAGAATCACAGAATGGTTTGGGTTGGAAGGGGCCTTAAAGACCATCCAGTTCCAACTCCCCTGCCATGGGCAGGGACACCTTCCACTAGACCAGGTTGCTCCAAGCCACATCCAGCCTGGCCTTGGACACTTCCAGGGATGGGGCATCCACAGCTTCTCTGGGCAACCTGTTCCAGTGCCTAACCACCCTCTGCGGGAAGAATTTCTTCCTGATATCTAATCTAAACCTCCCTGTTTCCAATTTGTACCCATTACCCCTTGTCCTGTCACTACAGGCCCTTGTAAATAGCACACGCTTTGACACCAAACACCTAAATTTAAGTACAATACACACAGCTTACAGCATTAGGATTGTTCTCTCTGCCAGAGCAGAGGAAACCCACGGGAAGCAAGAAGCAGCAGAGAGAAACTGCTCTGTCCTGACTCCAAGCCCCTGCACTGCCCGTCACCTCATGGTGTGTCCGCTGCGACAAGGCAGTGGAGACTGGGAAGGCGGAAGGAGAGGTGCTGGAGCAAAGGTGAGCATGTGAAAGGGGGAGGAAAGGGGTTTTCCAACGCGCTTACATGTCTGTCCCCTTCGGTTCCCAATACCCAAATTCATAATTAAGTGTTTAAGTCAAATTCCCCAAGATGGTTTTGCCCTCAAGAGTAATTGGTGAGCGATTTCTCTGTCTTTACTCTGCCCCATGAGTTTTCTCACTCTTGTTCTTCCCGTTTTCTCTCGTTCTGCTGGGGGTGTGGGGCTGGGGGTGTGCTGGGTGCAGGCTGGGTCCACCCCATCACTTTGGCCGTAGCTAGAGCTTGGCTCTTGACAGAACAGGAGTGGCTAGGTGGGTGTAAACATGGCGGTGCGCCATCCATCAGCTCTGCATTAATGCTGTCAGAAGCAGGGAAGGGCCGGGGGGAGGCTGGCGTACGCAAATCTGAGCTACGTATAGTGCTGCTACTGCCTGCTCCAAGGAGTTCAGCCCGGAGCAGAGATGCCTGCTCTGCCTGAGCAAAGAGGAGCCCGGAGCAGAGATGCCTGCTCTGCCTGAGCAAAGAGCAGCCCGGAGGGGAGATGCCTGCTTTGCCTGAGCAAAGAGCAGCCCAGAGGGAAACAGTTTGTTCGGGTCTGGTTACGGCTGTGTAGGAATAAAGACGAGCTAGGAAGCTGCACAGAGGGAAAATGAAATAAGTACTTGCGTCATCCGAAGATGCTTAGTGTGTTTGAGTCGATTACTTCCCTGCGGTACAAAAGCCCCAGCCTGTGTGTTTTGACCCACTTAAAGCACCATAATCCACAAAACTGCAACCAGTCCAAGGAGAAGTCTTCTGCCTCGGAAGAGAGCAGCTCACAGTCTTCTGCCTTGATCTGTGAATACACCAAAAGCTGGGGACAAGGAGTAATTTATGTGTGAACATGCCTCAGGTTCACGACTTGAGGATAAACGGTGTCTAGATGCAGGGTCCTACTGTAAGAAATACTACAACCGAGCATCGGTTACTGATGCAAGAGGAATTCAAAAGCGCCCCTTTTCAAATAGTTAAGTGTACAATTCCCTGCTGCTTTTTGCAAAGCCTGAGTAGCCTTGTGCTCTGGGAATCAAACCAGCCTGACTTCGGGAAGACGTCAGCAGTAACAGGTATGAAAAGCGTGACTCCTGTCCCCTTACAGGAGATGACTGGCAGTGGAGTACAGTCATATTTGAAAACTACTCCCATCAGAGCCCTGCAGCCTGCCTGGAGTTCATTTGGGGGAGTTTCTGTCCTCGTTCTGCATCTTATGTCCAGTTCCTGCAGAACGACTTTGGCCACCTCCTGTCCTTCTCATCTCACTTTGCAGATGAAGAAAAGCACTCGTGTGAAGTACTAATGTTTGTAAATGTTATGACAGGATGATCCATTAAGTATTTTTAAGCGCTAGCTGTGGGAAGGAAACGTGAGGAGAGCAAAGAAAGGAGAACAAGAATAGAAGAAACATCACGGGGCTGGGGAAATGCTTTTCACCAGCTGTTCCGCGTTATTTGCTTCGTGCATGCTTCACAACAACATTTCCCTCCAACAGTATAGGAGAACTGCCTTCCTCAACAACAAACAATTAAATTAGCTACCCTGAAAGAAGTCTTTGGGCAGGAATG